TATTGATGATGATGATGATGATGATGATGATGATGATGATGATGATGATGATGATGATGATGATGATGATGATGATGATGATGATGGATGATGATGATGATGATGATGATGGATGATGAGATGAGATGAGGATGAGGATGAGGAGGAGGAGGAGGAAGGAGGAGGAGGAGGAGGAGGAGGGAGGAGGAGGGGAGGAGGAGGAGGAGGAGGAGGAGGAGGAGGAGGAGGAGGAGGAGGAGGAGGAGGAGGAGGAGGAGGAGGAGGAGAGGAGGAGGAGGAGGAGGAGGAGGAGGAGGGAGAGAGGAGGAGGAGAGGAGGAGGAGGAGGAGGAGGAGGAGGAGGAGGAGGAGGAGGAGGATGATGATGATGATGATGATGATGGAGGAGGAGGAGGAGGAGGAGGAGGACGAGGAGGACGAGGAGGACGAGGAGGAGGAGGAGCTCGATGCTGTCCTCCCTCCGCATACATCCTGGTCCGAGCCGCCCCGGCTCGAGACCCGGGCCGTTCCACCGTGTCGGTTGCAATTCTTGGGAGGTTTTAAGCTTTAAGCTCAGCATCGGCGCTGGCATATCCGCGGTCTTTTATCCGTCCTACAGTCGGACCGAAGCATCAGATCGAGGTCGGTTCGGGGAGGGTACCTCAAGGTTCTTCGTGTCTGTTGGACGTTCTTGCGCCTCCCGGGGAGGGTACCCTTAGATGTCCCGCTTGTTTTGGCCGGCTGAGAGACTCCTGTTCTTGAGGGATGTTCTATTGGCCTGGGCCCGTCTGTACTTCGGCGTCGCCCCGCCTGATCCGCCTCCGTCCTGCTCATTCTGGCCTATCCCCGGGCTTCGTTTGGTCTGGTCTGGCTCAGTCGCCCCCCAATCGGGCCGTCTGGCCATCGGCCCTTCCCACGAAGGACCTTTCAGGAGCGGCCTCCTCACCGCTCCACCTGTCGCAGCCGCCTGCGGGATGTCGGCACGATGGAAGAGCGTCCGCAGGACGCTCTCCGTGGAGCTGCGCCGGGCGGCGCTCGAGCGATCCAGGTCGTCCAGCGCGGCCGACCTGCAGACCGACCTGGACGAGCTGCAGGCCACCATCCGCAGGCTGGCGGCCGGGCGCTCCGGCATGGACGAGCTGCAGCTGCTGCAGGACGTGCTCAAGGCTCAGCTGGTGGAGGTGTCCGACAGAGTGAGGCACGAGCGCCAGGCGCACGCGCGTGAGGAGTGGAGCAGCCCAAGGGCGGCAAACCACACGGCACGGGCACAAGCTTCCGGAGGCCCGCGCGGAGCTCTCGGGTCGGAGCCAGCCAGATACGGGCCCAAAAATTATACACCACCACCACCTCACTCCCTCCCTCTCCCAAGAAAGAGGAGATGAAGAGAAGGGTAGAGGAGGGAGGAGGAATCGACGTGGTGGTGTATATGCTTGGGGCCCGCGCCAGATCCCCTCCCCGCACACTTCCCCGGGCACGCGGAGCGCGCCAGGGGCGGCGCCAGAGGCTGCGACAGAGGTGCGGTCAGAGGGGTCCCAGCGCCGACCCCAAGAATCACGGAGCGTGCTCCACTGCTCGCAAAGTGCCTACGCGCAGAAGTCCGAGAAGCACACGTGTGCCACAATGTCATGGATCGCAGATCCACCGCGGCGGATCCGGGCCATTTGCGAGCAAGTCCTTTGCGAGTGGTGGAGCGCGCTTGTCTAAAGAAGTGGGTGTGGACCTCCGGATGCTCATGTTTTTGTGTTGTGCTTGCTGTTCTTCTCACATGGCTCTGGAGTGGATGCGATCCGAGCAAGCGAAGGCGCGCGGCCAGGCACGGCCACGGTGCAGCCGTCTCCGCGAAGGGCTTCGGCTGTGCTGCACTTCTCTGTGCGCGTTCCTGTTCGACTTCTGCGCGTTACCGTGGCACTGTTGTCGCGCTTTTAGAGGCAACGCGCTGACGCTGGACTCTGAGAGTGAGCCCTGGACTCGCATACCCTGCTCTGAGTCTGAGAGCCTGGCGTGGGGCTCCGAAAGGGAGATCCTGACGCAGGTGAGCCGATTCCTGTTCGTCGGCGAGAGCAAAGTCAAACACCCGGCCATCGTGAACTTCATGGTTTGGCGCCGCTCTCTCATCGTGCTGTTGACGTTCTTATGTACTGGATCATTCCTCTTCTCCCTGTTTGGAGACATTGCCGTCAGAAAACGCTATCGGCAGTCGAAATGCAGCTTGCACCACAGCTACTCTGATTTTGAGGTGGTCAAGGACAAGCTCGACTCGGGGGTGCTCACGTACGACGTCAAGTTCTCCCTTGAGTTCTTCGATGCCCTGGAGTGCACCATGGGAGAGCAGCTGTCGAAGGCAGACTGGACAAGGCTGCTGCTCCTCACGTCTGGCAAGGGCGTGGCAGCTTCGCTGCTGCTGCGGGGCTCTTTCCTCTGGGCGGACTGGTCTCAAAGCAGGCAGTACTTGATGTGGGCATGGACTGTCAACATACAGGGGGACGAACAATGACGTAAACATAAAAACTCGTAGGTCCGCG